CCATGGCGCAGCGCCGCAGCTTGCTCGGCAGCTCGCATCCTTGGTAGTCGACAGCCGGAGATAGGGAAGAAGAGGGGGTCCGGGGGTCCGAAGCTACGCCGCGGTAGCTAGGGCGGCCGCCCCACCCTGCCCCTAGGATAGCTCCGCCAGTGACCGGCGGTGAGTCCACTGCCCAGTGAATGGGGCGCGGAGGTGGTGTCCGCAACACACAGGAGACCACTGCCTCCGGGTCCTCATCCTCCAGCTGAGGGGTCGTCCCTACCGAGGCCTCATCTTGGAGCTAGGGGACCACCGGAGGTGACAACAGGCGCTCAAGAGAAGGCCACACGACGATCTGACTGCTGGCGAGTGAGGTTGCGAACTCCTCCAACATCGGGTCCTCCATGATGTCGCGACCATGCGTGGCGTCCGGGTACAGCGTCAGCGGGTTAGGCTGGACAATGCCCGTCTCGCTGGACAGCTCACCATGCCTAGGCTGAGCTTCAGCAGCGACCGAGGTGAAGGGCGGTGCTGCTTGTGCGGCCCCTACCGACCGCCCGTTATGCCTCGGTCTTCGGCGCCGGCGACCATCGGTGGTAGGAACGGCGTTGCCCAACTTGACCCCACTAGAGTCCTACGAGCCACCATGGTCCACTGGCCCAACGGAGTAGGCGTTACGGGTGCCACGAAGAGGGTGTTGCGGCTGGTGACCCATGGCTCTTGCATCGCCCGAGCTCCGAGAGCCCAAGCGCCTTGGCTACTTGCAGTCACGCGCAATGTGTCGAAATCCCCTGCACCATAGACATCGTTAGGGCAGCTTGCAGGTTGCCACCCGATGCATGGAGGAGAGGCAGTTAAGGCACTTGCCGTGAAGATCTACGGGATGTGCCTCGGTGGTCGACAACTCGTTGTTGGCCTCCGCTTGCTGGCCCTTGTGGCTCAGCCGAGGCGGCCGCAGGTCGTGTCTCCTGCCGGTGAAGGATCTCCCGCCACCCATCGGCGTTGGGGACGGAGACCCATCCACGGCGTCTGAGGCGCTGGTGTGCCGGGATGCGGCCCTCCACTGGCCGAGCCAGCATGCCGCACAACAGCTGTGGGCGCGGCCGACTGTGTTTTCCCCCACCTTCGCCCAGCACCCTGGAGACCCGCCGCCGCACCGCCATGGCCCGACGTCAAAGGTTGGGTGTGCGACAAGGACATCATAGGCAGCGGTGACGTCCTCAGTGGCTGTGGCTCCCGGCGAACCGCGTCCAGGTAGGGGGTCGTGGAGGTGGCTTCTGCATCAGAGTCGTCGAGGAGGTCGTCGTCCGCCCAACGACGGGCCTTGGAGCGTCCCGACGCGCTACCCCTAGGATGGAAGGGGGCAGCTTGGGAGGATAGGGTGGACGACGGGCTCAGAGCGGGGGCGGACGGGTGGACGAGGAAGGCGTCAAGGTCGGAGGCAGCGCTAGCCCCCCTCTCTGCTTCTTCATGCACTGCTACAACGGAGGGGGCCCGTGGCACCGCTCTCTCACCGGCAGCGTCTGTGAGCTGGGAGTCAACAACAGTCTTGGCCGCCATGGCAGGCGGCCCAGCGTCAGCGATGGGCGAGACGGAGAGGGAGTCCGCAGCTGCACTCTGGTGAGGGATCTGACGGTGGTGTGCTTGGCTACGCCATGGCAGCCCGCCCTGACGTCGCGGCAATGCACACGGCCAGGTCGGGCTCCCACATCGGCGGGATGCACGGGTCGGTGTCGGGGTGGGGAGCGGAGGGAGGTGGATGGGGAGGGGGATGTGGAGGGGGAGGAGGTGGCGGGGTGCGCCATGTAGGAGAGAGGCGCCGGGCGCCGCCGCCAAGCAGAATCATCAAGTTAGGGTTGGACTGGGCGGCTTAACCGAGGCTCCAGGGTTGGGAGGAGGAGTTGGACGAGGAGGGAAGTGCGAGGTGGAGGCGGAGGAGGGGGTGGGGGGCGCAGGCGCCGGGGTGGCGGGGGACGCCGGCCTTAGGGTGGGTGCGGGTCGGGGTCGGGTCGAGTCTAACACTCAAGGGGCCCGTTCACGTGCCCTTAAACCCAACTTGATCCGCTTCTTTTTTTATTCGGAATAGTGTTTTTCTCTCACAGATTCCTCCAGATTCATCCAAATTTCTCCAGATTCCTCCAAGCGAACGGGGCCAAGGTCCGCAGACCGCACTTTCTTTCTTGCAGCCTTATATGAGGTTGTTATAAGTTTCTAATTGTGATTTTGATTACGACATTATGTATTTCAAGTAACATTTTTGTCACATGCTTGTGGGGTCTTTACATTATGTGCTGTATAATTGGTCACTTGGATATGCTGACTTTGTACCTGTCCTTGTATTATGGCCTGTGTCCCTGAACATTATCTATGTCGTGTAACTGAAATGTTTTGCTGCTGTTCGGTTTATAGATGGATGCCACAGCACCCGGGTACTCGAAGGCCCGTTATGATGAAATTGTGAAGGGCATCTCTTCCTTCCTCAAGAAGGTCGGCTACAACCCTGAAAAAATTCCTTTCGTTCCCATCTCTGGTATTGAGGGTGACAACATGACTGAGAGGTCCACCAACCTTGACTGGTACAAGGGGCCAACCCTGCTTGAGGCTCTTGAACAGATCAACGAGCCAAAGAGGCCCTCGGACAAGCCCTTGCGTCTTCCCGTTCAGGATGTGTACAAGATTGGTGGTATTGGTACTGTCCCTGTTGGTTGTGTCCAAACTGGTGTCCTTAAGCCTGGCATGGTTGTGACGTTTGGTCCTAGCGGCCTGACTAGTGAGGTCAAGTCTATTGAGATGCACCACGAGGCTCTCCAGGAGGCCCTTCCTGGTGCTAATGTGGGCTTCCATGTGAAGAACGTTGCTGTGATTGATCTCAAGCATGGTTACGTGGCCTCCAACTCCAAGGATGACCCTGCCAAGGAGGCTGCCAGCTTCACCTCCCATGTCATCATTATGAACCACCCTGGACAAATTTGCAAGGGCTATGCGCCAGTGCTGGACTGTCACACCTCCCACATTGCTGTCAAGTTTGCTGAGCTCCTCACCAAGATTGACAGACGATCTGGCAATGAGATCGAGAAGGAACCCAAGTTCTTAAAGAAGGGTGATGCTGGTATGGTGAAAATGATTCCCACCAAGCCCGTGGTGGTGGAGACCATCTCCGAGTACCCTCCTCTTGGTCGTTTTGCTGTCCGTGGCATGAGGCAGACAATTGCTGTTGGAGTCATCAAGAGTGTCGAGAAGAATGACCCGACTGGTGCCAAGGTGGCCAAGGCTGCTGCCAAGAAGAAATGATGTGCCCGCTTTGGGGCACCATAATGCTTGACTATCACATCGTTTAAGAACTGCTGTGTTATTTTGGTAACATACTGGCGTTGTGAATTATGAGTATTTGGATTCTTATAAGTATATATATTCCCTACATGAGGTGTTATTTTCTTGGTTAATCTAGAGATTTGCTTGGCAATCTGGAGTTTTGATTCTGTGTGTTGTCTTCTGCCAGTGCCTGCTGCACGAGCCTAATGAGACAATGCAACTTAACGAATACTTGGAACATGGAAATGACTAGTTATTTGGCGCGTTCGTTTGCGAATTGTGTGATATGCGAGAAAACTGTGGTAGAAAGACGAGTGGAAAGATCTTTCCTACTCTGTTGTCTGTGTGAATAAAGCATTGGGAATCCAGACCCTTATTAGGATTTAGCTCAATTTCTGAACGATGAGGGCGACAACGGCGCAACTTCCAAGGGGGAGGAGGACGGAGCAAAATGTTTCTTCAAGCGAAAAACTGACCGTTTCACCCCTAGGCTGAAAATTCTTTTTTAGCATCACGTGTCCCCCAAATAGAATTACCACCGAAATTCGTGAATGAACAACGTCAGCCATGAGCAGCAAAGTGAAATCTCGGGGTAGATATCTTGGTCTGTCCAAGTGTGATGGCTTGAGAACATATTCTTGTATGATTAATGTTGGTGTTTAGCTTTGTACACCTAGAATAATGTAGCTTATGATGAAGGATTGATAATTTGATATGATACCTCTGTGTCTGTGTCTCAAATGGAGTGACATGATCCCAACCTCTAGCAATGAGCCCAATGGCCCACTAAAATGCAAGCCTCGGACCAGTCTTAGTGGAGAGTTTTATTACGTCGTTTCTAAGACATGCCATATACAATGAAATGAAACATGGATGAAACACTCACTTTCAGTGTAAAGTTTCATTCCATGGTTTCATAGACATTGAATTCTAAAGTTTCATCCCTACAAAACCTATTTCTTCTCTCTTCACTAAAATATGGCCTATGTCATAAAAAATGCTTATGTGGTAGGCTATTAAATGTAAATGAAACTCTCATAGAACTCCCACTGAGACTGGTCTAACCTAAATGACATCTGTGTGGCTCGTGTGATAAGTTTTGGGACCTACCTAAATGACACCACCATATAAATTTAGAGCAACTCCAAGATAGTCTTTATATTTTTTTCTAATTTCTTGGAATAGATATTTTATGTGAAAAAATACACTCCAACAGCCTGTCTAAATGGATCTCAAAATATAGACATCCTCTATTTCGGATTTATCCGTAGCTAAAAATGGAGAGTAGTGATGGCTCTCTAAAATGCGCACAAGATGTAGAAAAGATATTGGAGGTACAAAGATTTAGAAAGCGAATTTTATTCAAATGACTCTTCAAATTATGATTTAGAGGGTAAATTTTAAAAAGACTCTTAGATATGCTCTTAGTTATTAGATTCAACATGTTTGTGTGTGCATGTTGTGGACGTCTATGTTGTACTGTGTAATTCTAAAAAGAAAAAAACTGAGTCAACATGTCTAGAGTGTGTCGAAACCGATTTAGATTAATATCGAAACCTGCACTAATTTAAAGACCCATATAAATAAAAAAATGAAAATTTAGATTTTGAACGAGGATGCCTCTTGAGTTTAGGAACCACAGATCTATTTTACTCAAACCATGTAACGCGCTGCCAATATTCCTTTAGCACACTGCTAATGTACAAACACTACGAACAACCGCGCCAAGTTCTACGGCTCCACAAGGCGGGCCACGCACGCGATCCCCTACTATGATCAGTATTGCACGACGGCTGTCCAGAGGCCAGGGCTGTCTGGCTACAGAAACGCGGTGGGCTCGGCAAACGGCGTGAGGTAGGGCACGTCGGCCGCGCCGCGAGCCAGCGGTCAATGCAGCGCGCGTGGAAGCCGTGGTTGCAGCGCGGCAGCACGCGCACCGCCTCCCCGCGGGCGAACTTGGTGAGGCAGATGGCGCACTCCGACCGCGACGACCCGGCCATCTCCAGCCCCGCCGAGAACGCCAGGCACGGCAGCGCCTGCACCAGCGCCGGCGGGAGCCGCCGCGGCTGCTTCCTCCCGTGCGCGTGCCCGTGCCGCGCGGCGGCCTGCAGCTGCGCCGGCCCCGCGCCTCCGCCCGCGTGCTGCTGGACCTGCTCCTGCTCCTCGGGGTCGTCGTCGTCGTCCTGCGCGTCGTCGGCTCCGCCGCAGCACGCGCCGCGCGTGACGCGGAGCGCGCACTGGAGCACGACGCGGAACGTGAGCGCCGCGACGAGGCCGCACGTGAGGAGCGCGAGGGTGAGGATCGCGTCGGAGTTGAGCTCGCCTGCCGCTGCCGGGACCAGCCGAGCGTCCGGAACGGCGCCGGGTGATGGGCACGCGGCCGGCCCCTGCAGCTGTAGCAGGAGTCGCCTGGAGTAGTGCAGCTGTGCATCCATGGCCGAGTCCCACGCTGGAGCTCCGAGGAGTGCGCGAAGGAAGGACTGCGCGCGAGTCGTTCTTGTGGGGAACAGAGGCTTGTGGTCTTGTATACAACGTGACGACTGCCGAGCGTACGAGTCTACGAGTGAGGTGCCATTATGGTTGATGAGTGAGAGTGAGGATAAACTATGCAGAGATATATGTCAAGTCGCTGTCTTGGGGTGCTCTATAGTCGGCAAACTACAAATTAGAGACGGGCTTAATGCTGTGCGGTTGTAAGCGTGCGGAAGATAAGACGCACATGAGCAGGCAAATAAGAACAGTTGAAAAATCATGGAGACACAGGAGGAGAAATACCCCGGCACGTCTCGACTCTGGATCGTCTGATGGGATCACGGGAGGGCCGGAAACAAATTTGAGGAGCCAGCGTAGAAGACAAGGGAGGGCGAATGATAGACAGAACAGCGAGCGTATCCGCAAAGCGACCTGCTTAAACTAGAATTCCCGTGCCTTTTAAACTAGAATTTCCAAGGCAAATCCTAACCCCCGTTTTCTCTTCGAATGTGCCAAAAACTCGCAGGCATGAGGCGTCAATGCACCACCGCACCCGATGGGTTCCATTTCCATCATTCCGTGACCAAAAGGACTCGTGGGGAGCCAGCGTTTTTGGGATCCGAGGGCCCCGCCACTAACCACGACTCGCCGGCGCACGACGGGGCCGCACGTGGCCGGCACGGCAGTGACTTGTCAATGTGTGGCTGGCTCGTTCCGGCCATGTCAGGCAGTCCGGACGTCCGACGTGTCTATGCCGGGGGGGTCTCCGCGGCTCCCGATTTTGCCATACCATGCGGGCCTGCGGCTCCGGCTGAGTTTTGTTGGAGGCGCCCCCAGCATGGGCCGGCAACTCTGGTACTTGTGGGTTCTGGTACTCCTCGTTTTGGGCTTCAGGCTGTGCGGCTTGGTTGGGCTGCCAGGTGTGGTGAGGGCGTGACAGAACTGCACATTTGCACCACTTTTTTAAAAAAGGCAATCAGGCATCGAGCGAGCAGAGAGACGGCACGAGCAGCGGAGCACGCGGCCGCATCGCCAGCTCGGCCGCTCCTGCGTCCTTCCGACGCCCGGCGCCCGCATCCGACGCAGCCGCTGCCCGCCCCGCCCCCAGCTGCAGCCGGCCATCCACCGCCGACGGCGCCCCCAGCCCCCGCCCCGCCGACGCCCGCAGACCGACGCCCGCAGGCTTTGCCGCCGATGCCCGCAGGTGGGGTTTACCGCTGTTGATCAACTGGGATTAGGGTTTAAGCAGAGACTGAGGTTTTGGGTACTATCGATTAGTGGGATCGTTACACTGTTTGCGTTGTGTAGCTGTTTGTCGCGGTCAATCGTGTTGGTTTGGTTGGCAAGGTGTTGCTTATATCCTTTACTGTTTCATCGCAATGGGTTCAACTGTATGATGATTTCCGATGCTAATTGTTTTACCCCTACCTTTTGGACGATTGATTCTGAATGATGATTTCATCATTGTAGGACTTTTTTTTTTTTGATTTTCGGCACAGCTTCCTTGACTTAGCGCTGACCAGCGATTTCATCTGTTGATTTCAGATGCTAATTTGCATTGGTTGGTTGACCTTTTTTTTGTGTGAGCATGATTCCTAAATGCTTTATTTGGCCTGCTCAGGGAATTTGAGCTTTGGTTCTGGTCCGAGAAAGAAGTTTGGTTAATTTGGTGGTGCGTTGGCCTGAGTCAGATAGCACACTGTATAGAGGGTTTAGTTAGGTTTGCTTGTTGCATCTAGACATGCTTCGGTCTTAATCTTGGAGTTGGTAATATGTGTTATTGACCATTATGGTTGTGATGTCATTTTACCCTGGAATTTTGTTTGAGTTCAACCTTTCAGCACTGTTTGACCGTTGCTGCATCATGGTTTTTCGATATTAGAATTCAGTTTATTCAACTGTGAGCCAGTAGTGATTGCTGGTATAAAATGGGTGATCTGTACATTCTTGAGGAATGTACCTGGGCCATTTGTTATTTCTCAAAATGGAGACTGAACTGTGCCAATCTGTACATTTTATATTGTTTGCAATTGGAAAATTATATGTCGCTTCCCTGTTGTAGTTTGCTGGGTAAAATAAAATGATTGCTTTGTTTAAACCGCATTATACTAGAAATATCAATTGACTATATATGTTATTCATCATCATCAATCAAGAGGTCCTCTTAATATTCTTATTCTTCAGTTGTGATACCTGAGCTGTAGGACACGGGAGGACGCCCCTTCCGCATGAACCCAAGTAGCCAACGACACCTTATCACGCTGCACAACTAAGAAGCAGTGGTAATGTCCTCTCCAGTCCTCATCTACCCCTTGTGTGTCGCCTTGTCTGAGAATCAAATTATCCCCTAATTTAATTGAAATTTTTTCTCTTTATTAATGAAGCGGGATGGAAATTGCAATGGAGGATTCGGTGCTATGCACTACTTGTTTTCAATTGGTGAAATCAGCCAAGGAGCACCGTGAAACTGAGGGTCATAGAAGTTTCAGATATCCTATTGATGGAGAGCTCAATGTTACCTGTCTTGCATGCAATAATATCTTCAACTATTTCAGCGTAAGACAATCTTTTACAATGATTTGTCATATTACCCTTTCAGATTTCATTTTGCAATGTGATTAATCTTAGACTCCGCTCCTTTTTAGAAATTGGAAATGCACATTGAAGGGAACAAAGAACATGTGAAATTCAAGGAGATGAATGCCGATTGTGATGTAGATGGTGAGTAATGCTTTAATCGAAGTGATTAAACTTTAAGAAAAGTTGTTATGTTTAAATTCTAATACTTTAAAGCATTTAGAAGTGAAGTATTTTTCTATTGTTTTGATTTCAGTGATCTTCTCGGTAAAGAAAAGCAAGCTTGCTGACCTTGAGAAGATTAGCTTGTTTAAGGATATGAAGGAAGAATTGTTCACCCCCATGAAAGCACCTCAGAGAAAGGAGACTTCAGGATCACTAGCAGGAGGCTCAGAGAGTTCAGGATTATTAGCAGGAGGCTTGGCGGGCATGGTCGAAATACTGGTTGCAAGACGCAACCTTGAACATTTGGGTCTCGGGGAAGAACGGATGGAAGCAATAAGGAAAGGATATGTTCTTGTTGAAGATCACCTTAGAGATGACTCCTTACACATCATTGATGATCGGTTGAAGAGATCAAAGTCTGTGAAGAAAGTGGTTGAGTTTGAATTAACCAATGTCCATGCTAAAGAAAAAGACAAGGAGTATGAATTTCATCCACTTTTGAAGCAAGTTTGTTTGAAGGAGCTACATTTATGCAGTACTAAATATGAAAGTTCAGCAAACAAGGCTAGGAGGATTGAGAAGGTGCTAACAGGAATAAGAAACTTGGTGTTCTCCAGAAAAAGTGTTTCCCTTCGCGAGATCTATTACATTCATCCACAGTTATATTCTGCCCATAGCCAGAAACTCTCCAATGCTAACGTGACTGATATCAGCACCATGATGGGACTCACTATTCAAAGTCTCAACATTTTTACGTCCCCGACAGGTACTGTCAAAGGACCTCTGCTGCTATTTATAGGTGACAAGATATTGGCTGAGCCCCGAATGGGGGGCATAGCTGGTTGCAGGACCGATTTTTACAATTTGACCATTTTTTAAAGAAAATTTACGTTTAACCCCCTGGAAGACTTAAACTCATCTTTGGACCCTAGAGGTCGACGCCAGGAGTCATGGCGCCGAGCTAAAATGTCTCGGCACCACAGATCTTGGCTCCGAGGTGCCTGGCCGTGCACAGTAGGGCATCCTAGGTGGCGTTCACATGGCCAGTACCTTGGCGCCATAATACATGGCGCCGAACTCGGCGCCATAGATCTTGGCGCCGAGCTCAGCGCCATGTATTCTGGCGCCGAGCATGGATTCAAGCGTGTGGCCGCCGCAGCTCTCTCTAGCGCTCTCTTTCTCCCTCTCTCGTGCTCTATCTCTCCTCTCCCTCTCACCGCCGCAGCCAGTCAGGCCCGCCGTCGCCCGCCCACTGCTGCAGTTCACTGCCCGTCGTCCCCCGCGCGCCGGTCGCCTCCCTCGCTCCCCCATCCGCTCCCTTAGCCGTCCTCGTCGCCCCAGAGCTCCTCACACGCGCACCGACGGCGAGGGCGGCCCCTGCTTCTCCCCGGAGGGCCGCCGGCGTCCGAGTCAGGCGGCTACCCCGCCCATCCCCCTACCGTGGCTCGCGAGGACGCCATCGAGCTCGAGGCCGCAGGAACGCCGCCCACCCGACCCGCCAGAGCCGCTGCCACCCCAGCCAACTACCGTCGAGCACTCCAATGCCACACCGAAGCAACGTCGCCGTAGCTGCTGCCGCACCGGCCCGCGACGCCGCCTCAGACCTCGCCGCGAGCCAACACCGTCGGACCCGCGCCTCCTCTCGCGGCTCCCTCGGCTCCCAGTGACCCCACCGCCCCCAGTGACGCCACCGGCTCCTAGGTATTTTTTTTCTTTAGTTTTTTTTAATTGAGTTAGTTTAGATAACATAGTTATTTATTTTATATAGTTTTATAGTTTGGTAAAGCTTTTTTAGTTATTTAGTGATTTAGTGATGTTTATTTAGCTAATTTAGATAGATAGTTATTTAGTGATTTAGTGATGTTTAATTAGCTAATTTAGGTAGATATTTATTTAGCTAATTTAGATAGATAGTTAGATAGTTAGGTAATTTAGTTATATAGGTAGTACTTGTAGTAGATGTAGTTAGATAGATAGGTGGTTTAGATTAGATACTTCTTTATTTAGGCAGAGAGTTGAAAACTTTTATATGTAAACCCGTAATAACTTTGGTGTTGTGCATACCAACTAGATAGACAACGTAGTCATCCTGTATTATGGAGAAAGTGTGGAGAAAGATGAGTTTGGGAATGTCAGTTTTGTTGGAATGCAAAGGGTGCCAATGATATTTGATGATCAGTCATTGTTTTGTGAGTTATTTGGTAGGGCTCGTGATGAGCTT